TCACCAACTTTTTGATCTTCTATAATCTTCTAAGTCTCCTTTCATACCGGTCAATTTAAATTTCTAAAATTTATGATGCTTTTCTTTAATTTTATTTCTTAAACTCCTTGTGAAACAACCTGGTTTTTTACTTGTAGCTACCCTTTTCTTTCACTGCCCTCTAAGAATTTAAAACCATCTCTAGTACAGAACTTGATTATAGATAAAAAGAAAATATATTTCCATAACTTAATACCTCTTGCGGGCATTACACAAGCTTTTAGTACACAGAACAAGCTATACTTAGTTGAGTCCTTGTTACACTGTTAGATTCTCATGGTATTAGTGCACTTCTAGTGTATTTCCAGTTAAAAACCAGTAACATCTCAGTACCATGAGTGGTATTATCTTACTTAAGTACACTGATAAAATCAACAAAACCAACATCTGATTTCTTCATAAGCATTTTGATTTTATTTGAAAAATTAAAAACATTAATATGATCAATCAATAACTGATGATAGATTTGTTTCTTCAATCAAACGTTAAACACAACTTTTATAATCAAGTCACTGACACTAAGAATATTATCAAATGTATTTAAAAAAAAAAAAGAGACAGATTTTTTTTTCACAAGAACTGCAGACAGTCCAGTCAGCAAAAATTCAGAATATACACACACCCTTTCTAAATATTTTTTAACATTTGAAGCCTAATAATTACACTTAAATATTATATTTACATATAACAACTCTGTATTACAAAACATAAATAACCTAAAATTTGGTACTATAAAAACTAGTCACAAACACAGATGTGTTGAGAAATAAATTGTCCTCAACTGATGTAATGTACTACAATACATGATTCTTAATTTTAAACATCTAATTGAACTGATGTATTTATTTAAAGAAACTTATACAATAATGCACATTTATCTACTGTTAAATTACAAGAGATATGAAAATTGTGAAAATATTTTGTCTCGAATACTAAAACTTACAAGAGTGTAGACACTCTGTTATGGTGGTGGCATCAATGAAGTAGCCACCACACAGCACACACTGCAGGTGAGGATTCAGGTCTGCCAACTTAACCTTGGTAGTAGAGTGCATTTCTTTAAAACTCATTATTTCACTCACACCCCATCTTAATCTAAACAAAAAGAGCAAAATAATAAAAAAATTAATATTTATATAAAAGCAGAACTGGAAAATAACAAAAAAGTAAAATGAAGTAGTTAAATGCATGCTGTAGGATTCAGATCTTAATAAACTTCTTGATAATATTCCTTAAGAGCATTTTTACTAGATCACAATTTTATAAAATATTTAAAACTCATGAAACTATGTACTTCCTTAGGGAAAATTACGCATGCCTTGTAACCAATTGCTAAGACTGTCCAAGCCTCCATGAACAAGAACATGCTGATAGTAAGCTATCAGCTCTTCTGAAAATCTTAGTAATCTAAGCAAACTTAGAAAATATTAAGTCAAAGATTTTATCCAATCAATAATAAAAATCATAAATAACAAATTTCTAAAAAAAAGACAATTATGAGATTGTTCACATTCCACCCAATAAGAACAAGGCAGATTTATCAACTCCCTTTTGCTTTCTATCTTATAGTCAATTTTTTTTTAACTTTTCTACAAATATAAATCTCTAACTTTCTAATTGACCTCTCATATGGAACTATATCAAATATTTCTAGAAAGTAAATATTGTCATCAACTGATCTGCCATCTTTTGAAAAGAACTCTGGCAAAAAACTACCCACACACCCATGCATAAAAAAATTCTCCTGTTGAGCATTTTTTGATAAATTTTAGTATGTTTCAAGTGCATTTATGAATTACTTCTGACAACAAACTTCAATGCCTCTCTAAGAACTGAATTAAACTAATAGGCATTTAACATCTTAGGTATTCCCTCTATCTTTTTTTTTAATAGAAAGATCATTATGAAAATTTTCTCTAATGTTAAAAACTTTCAATATTCATAAAAATAAAACAAAAAAATAGTTTTCATATGGCAAAAGCCTTTTTGTAAAACACAAAGACATTGTCATCAATGACAAGAACAGAGAATAATTTGTTTTGGTGAGCCTATTCAAAACATTTTGATCCTCAACTTGTTTTTTATGCGACAGGAAGAAATAATTCAAAACGATGTTTTTACTTTTGTTTAGTCACTTCTTTCTTCATATAACATCAACTATCCAGTGCAAACATATGTTCATATTTTAAGGGAGTTAAAAAAATAGTTTTCATGCAGTCATTAAGAGTGAAAACTGGGCAAATCCAAGAAAACTGACCAGGGATTTAGGGGGTTACCAAACATACACACATACACATCAAATTTTTTCCTTAAATCAAATCTTCATCAACCTTAAGAATAACATCAAACATGCAGATATTATACAAAATTAAAACTACTGGTAAATATTTAACTTTACAGCCACCTAACCAGTACCATGGATACAGATCTCGACTATTTCTTGTTCAAAGCCAATAATAACTTCCAGAGCTCATAAAGGACAAAACAAATAAAATATACTTTTATGAAGTTTGATTTATAACCTGTTGACTTCTTGTTTTATTAAAAATTACACTAATGTGTTTTTTTACCAATTTTCAAAAAACACATCAGTTTAGTTAATAATTTTAAAATAAAATTCTGTAAAATTTAATTCATATAAGTTGTAGAACTGATTTTTATTTCTTAATAATCAGATTTATTCTTTAACTTGAATAAAAAGTAAATACTGAGTGGTGGGTTTTGGATTGTATCAATTGTAGAACTATTGTGATTAATGAAAAACAAAATTCTAGGAAGTGAAGTGTAGGATAAGTAACACTGTAGCATCTTGAATTTATATTTTGGCATACACAATTGAAAATAAATTAAAATTAATAAGAAAAAACCAAAAACAGAGTAAAAAAAAAGCTAAACTGTTTAAGACTAATGCAATTTAATTAAACCAACTTAATTCTAAAGAGATCACACAATAAAGTGATTTAGTCAACACTTACGGCAAAAGACTTCATTTGTGTGGAATCATCAACAACCACACATCAAAACATGTTTCCCAAAAGTTATCAACATAACTTGAAACACCAAAGGAATAACAATACATCAGAGCAACAAATCCAACAAGCCAATAGCAATAATTTATCTGACACAATACTTAATGAGGCTCAAACTACATGCTTAAGTAAAGGACTTAATTTTGCTACAACACCTTATAAATGATCTATCATAAAGTGTAGACTTTCAAGATCTGTGTGGAAAACTAATACTGGAATACATTAATGTGCAAGAAAGGAAGGAAACTAATCTCACAAAACTTTCAAACAGAGACCTAGAGCTAAGAGAAAACTCAACCCTAGCAAACAAATCAGTAACAAACCCAGATTCAAAGTTCTCAAAAGTAACTGAGGTGAATTCCTGTCTAAACTTGAAATACTTTTGATTAAGAATTTCCTATCAAATCACGGGGTTTTAATCAAATATGCCAAGATTAAATCAAGTTTAAATAAAAAATAATGGAGAATTAATGAACTTAAGAAAAACAGCCTAATTATTTTAATAATCACAAGAGCTGACAAAGGGAATAAAAACCATAATATTCAACAAAAGTCAATACATCGTATTAACGAACAAAGGTTTTGGTGACTCATCAAAATATATAAAAACTTAAATCCCATCATTCATAAAAATAATTATTAAAAAAAACAATCAGAAAAACCATGAGATATTCAATTCAACAAGAAACCACAAAATAAAACTTTATCACAAATGCCATCCCTTTCAACATGTCAGCAACAACTTCATCAGAACATGGAAATGCCTCATCAAAACCATAATATTAACATCAACTTGTTAATCATTCAAAAGCCAGGAATAAAAATAAGTAACACCATTAAGAGAAATTATCCTAAAGAAATAATAATATATGAAATCAAATCTGAATAATCTTATTTAAATTAAACTGGAAGAAAATTGGAAACAAGGATAGAAGTACACCTTAAAGAAACATAGTATGTATTTGAACATTTAAATTAAACCAAGCATTCCATATTCAATAACAGCATTAAATTTAAACAAAGTGAAATTAATATAAACAAAAGAAAAATTGCAGAAGCTATACTGATCAAAACATTAACACCTTCTTTGAACATATATCTCAGAATTCCTCTCTATTTCTTCGTACTAAAGAAACATTTTATATGAATAACAAAATGACATTGCAGTATAAGCAAAATAAGGTTAAAATATTTCTCATTTTAAATATTAATTTCAAAAATCAGTTATCTCCCCAGTATTTTCCCAGAACTTATAAAGTAAAACACCTATTCTGTTGCTTCAACTTTAAAGCTACCATTCTTGGGGCTACTCTACAGACTTTCAAAATACATCTCACATTCTGGTCATGTGTGGATGCCCCCAAAATAAGCCAAAGTGAGAGTGAATTTGTCCTGGTAACTCCAAACTGTAACCAAAAACTTAATTTCAGGACTTTTTATGATCTGCAAAACTAAAATTTAATGGCAATAAATAATGAATTGGTATTTGGTATAACATCACAAGAAGTCTGACAATAATCTAACATGCATCATTCTCCACCTGCTTAATATAAGTTTTCAATAAGAAGACTGTAATAACATTAAATGGCAGCAGTGGACCTTTTCATCTATCTAGGGTATCATATCTGCTACAATAAACCTTTAAAAAAACCTCAAAGCCAGCTGTTATCATTCAAATGTTTATCAAGCTTTCTCTTAAATTAACTGCATCCACCACATCCAAAGGCAGCCATTCCAGAGGTAAAGCAGTCTTAGCTGAAGATGATTTCATCTCTGCCAATATTTATTTTTAACTTTAAGTCCCCTAGTATTGTTCAAATGGCCTTTTACTCGATCCCCAAAATCCTGATCAAGTTAGATTTGTTACAACTTTTGACAAACAAAAAATTACATGAACTTATTTCATATATCTAAGTTGTGTCATGAAATGATGAATCAACACATCTTAACTAACGCTAAAATTTGAGCTAGTACTTTTAAGTTTTACTTTTTGTAGTAGTAACGGATGGTACGATTTAAATTATCACAAAATCAGTCTTACTGTGACTCAGTGATGTTATTACATGCGTATCGCTACTACTTAAGTACTTTGTACTTACTAGTAGTAGTAGTACTAAATACATGTCACGCTTTGTCAGCTAAGGCATTTTATTTCTGTGCCGCAGACTTGTTAAAATGGTCGTTAGGCTTAGCTTTAAGTTTAACCGATAATTCAGTTACAACAGTTTAGTGTAAAACAACAGTACTCATTAGTAATAGTATTGTATATTTTGTAGTGCTACATGTCATTGTTAGTATTAGTATAACTATTAGTAATGGTAGTCACCAGTGACAAAGTACTAAAGTAACAAATTTATAACTTAAACTGTTAGTGTTAAAGTTATAATAAAAAGTTGTAATTGTATGACTATGAGCTTGAACAGTTGAAGACTGGAGTACTAAATATTACAATGTAGCTTATATGGAATTTTTTAGCAACTAAATTAATTAAAATAAATTTTAATAGCACTTGTTATATATCTTACCTTCATCTCATACCGAACAAAAACAAATCAGTTAAAAACAAAAGCGCGTGCACGATAAGCCTAACACGAACCAGACATTACAAAAAAAACGGTAACGCATTTATTCAACGTATTCGAATCACTGAGTCGGCTATATTCTAAACACCATATTCTATCCAACATAAATTTCGCAATGAATGTGTGACGTAACTAATAAAATACCCTGGTTCTTGCATAGAATGAGAAACCATAAGGCTTTCCACGGGATAACTACCAATCGTTTTGAGATACTCTTTATTTATCTAACGGCTATTAAAGATTTATTCACGTGACATAGTTTCCGAAAAAAGTATATTTATATACATTTTACCAGAATTATTTAACGCGAATTATAGATTCACAAATGATGTGATTTTTTACATAGATGGAATACTAGTACACACTTTGAATGTTTTGTGTGTAATAACAAAATTATATATATATATATATTTCCCATATTGATATATATTAACTCATCTTACACTCAGGAAAACATTCTTATTTTCTAGTGTTTCAAGAGCTTCGCTGTAAGTTTAGTGTGAAATGTTCATAAAAGGCGACATTAATAATATTATTATAGAATTTATGCAAGTGAATAGAATAAATAGAATTTGTTTGTTTTAACAGATTTTAGTCAACAAAATACAGACAATGGAAAACGAAATATTATTTTTATATTTATATGCTGTTGGGTTTCATTGCGTGCGTGAGTGGCATATAATAAATCAACAGAGTAATGTAATATTTAAAAAAGTATTAGAGTGGCACTCTTTCAAGTAAGACCCGTTTAAAACCTATGCATTTTTTTTTCTATTCCAGTCCCATGAAATGGGGCCTGGCATGGTCTAGTGCAGGGGTCACCAAACTTTTTTCACAGCGGGCCAGATAACTGAGAGAATGACGAGCGCGGGCCGCATAACCATTTTGTTCAATACAATACAGTGAATACACAAAAAATAAAAACAACAAACATGTTTATTTACCAAAAAGTTATCAAAGAAGGTGACGTTAGCAATAAGATAGTTATATCACACCCAGTGCGCACATATCCGAATCTCACAAACTAAGCTGCAAAAAAGGTTAGTGGGATTTGTGAAACTGGCGTTTAGCTTTTGAGATATCATCAATATTTGCTTTGGAATTGCTGCATCCAACCAAGAGAATTGCTTTCAAATGTTCATCAGTCAACCTCGTTCGATGTGCTGACTTCACATACTTCATTTTTGAAAATGTTTGCTCACAGACATAAATTGTTCTAAACACTGATGCCATACCAGAGGCAAATTTCTTCAACTTTGAAAACTCATCATCAGGTAAGCAGCGATAAAATTCAACAAGTTTTCCTTCTCTGTGTTTCTCTTTCAACAAGTCATTTGCTTGCAAATGAATGAGCTCCAACTGTAGTTCGACTGGCACGTCATCAAGGTTACAATTAAACGGATTCTGGAACAGAAGAATGTCACTCTCAATTCTGTCGAGATCTGAAAATCTCTCCAAAAAATATTTATTTAAGTCACTAATAATCTTCTTCGGAAACTCGAGGTTGACATCTGCGATTTCAGCGCGAAACTCTTTGAAACACTGAAAATGATAGAAG